AAAACTAACGATGGTAATGATGATACTATAGATCATTATGGTAAAGCTAATATTATTTAACGAGATACGATACGTTATAGAGCGCCAAGAATGATAAAACTTGATTACATTACCGGTTAAATTAAGAATTCTGATAATCATTACGATAGTCCTGAAAATGATACATTAATGGTGATGCCAATATTGATAACAAAAACAACGATATTAAATATCATCGCATAAAGTGCAAGTGTTGGAGTTCCTGTCATTATGATAATCATGCAGAAATCCGTAGCAGTAAAAGCTACATTGTCGCTTTAAACGCAGGACGTGAAAGGTTAAAATGTGATGATCCAGATCATCTAGATTTTAGTGTATTTTTGAAAAGGTATCTTGAACATTTGCCTTGTGATGTATATATATATATGTATATATGTGCGTGTGAGTGTGCGCACACACACACACGCATGTGTGTATATATATATATACATGTATATATATATATATATATATATATATATATATATATATATATATATATATATATATAATATATATATATGTGTGTGTGTGTGTGTGTGTGTGTGTGTGTGTGTGTATCTATACATATCTATCTATCCATATAGATATGTATGAATATATATATATATTTATATTTTTTTATTTATATATTATCTATATATACATATTCATTTATATATACATACATTTTATACATACATATATATTATATATATATATATATTATTATATATATATATATATATATATATATATATATTAATATACATATATAATGAGTTGGTGTGGGTATATATATAATTTCCTGGATGCACACACATGCTCTGCCTTCCAGTGAAATTCCAGCCCAGTCTTATTTCACGTCCATATCCCCGTTATGCTTACGCTTCCCTCCGCTCCATTAGCGGGTTTTCCGTTCACGCTGATTCGCTCTTCCAGGCTTTGACCTTATGGAGGTCGGGCGGGACGAGGTCACGCTGCGGACGGGCAAGCAGGCCAACAAGCGCAACATCCAGTTCGCTCACCAGGCGCTGCTGGCGCTCTTCGGTAAGTTGGGACGCAGGCGGGGCTCTGTGCTGCGCCGCGCTGTTTTTGCGTTGTTTGTGAGGGTGCGGGTGGGGTGGGGTCCTCTGGTGGGGGTTTGAGATTCTTGTTTGGGAAATGCGGGTGTTGCATGCGAGTCCGTGGGGCAGTTTATAGCACTTGTTTCGCTTCTATTCGAGCAGACACCCAGGAGGCCCCAAAGAGCCTGAGCGTGGACTCGAGCAGCAGCCTCGAGTCCCTGGTCAGCACCGACGACGAGGAGGAGTCCGTGGCCGCGCCCCCGCCGCCGCCCCCGCCCTCGCAGCCGCTCCTGCCGCACCGCACGGCGCCGCTGCTGCTGGGCCGAGGCGCCTTCTCCAGCTACGTCAGGAACCGCGGCGAGCCCGACGGCGCCCGCGCCTCCACTAGCGAGCAGAAGGGACGCGAGAGCGACGCCGCCTTCACGCCCTCGCCCGTGGACCCCGGCGCCAAGTACGCCCGCGCCTTCCGCTCGCCGCACGGCCCGCCCAGCGACACGGGCTCGCCGCAGCCGTCGCCGCGGCTGTCGCTGACGCTGGCGCACCAGAACAAGATCCGCTCCATGTACACGTCCAACTCGCCGGCCAGCGACGGCGGCGGCAAGCGGCCCGACAGCTCGTCCAGCACCAGCAGCATGACGGACTGGGAGAGCGGCCAGGCCACGGTGCGGCGCCAGCCCATCGCCAAGCCCGTGATCACCTCCAAGGCGCCCATCTCCGCCACGCACAGCCGCGTCAGCGACGTCAGCGCCGGCTTCATGCGCCCGCACTACGTGTCCATCAACAAGAGCAACTCGCAGGCGTCGTCGGGCTTCGAGTCGCAGAGCTCCGACTCCGACTTCGGGCCGCGCCGCACGGGCACCGTCAGGAGCGTGTACACCACGGTGGGCAGCGCGTCCACGCTCAAGCTCAGCAAGAGCGCCACCATGGACACGCTGGACCGCCTGAGCGTGCGCACGGAGGTGGGGCGGCCCGTGGTGGGCGGCGCCCGCGGCCGCCGCGACCGCAGCACCGAGCGAGAGCTGTCCGGCGACAGCGCGGAGGGCCAGGCCGCGGGCGCCAGCGCCGCCGTCGTCAGCACCGGAGCCGCAGAGAGCGGCGAGACGCGGTCGGTGCAGACGCGGAAGATGCCGGAGGTGCAGCTGGACTCGTCCATCGGGAAGCTGCTGCGGCCGCGCACGAACCACGCGGCGACCATCCACGAGAACGACTCGCTGTACAACTACCGCTCGGGCGACGAGATGTCCATGAAGATGGGCCACATGGGCCACAAGAGCATCCAGGACCACATCATCGCCACGCAGATGTCGCGCCTCAACCGCGAGATGCCCATCAGCGACGTGTACCACGAGCGCAACCTGGGCCTGGGCCTGGCGCCGCCGCTCTCCAAGCTGCTCATGTCGGCGGCGCAGCCCATCGTGGCGCCCGACCACGCCGACGCGGAGACCAAGTCGGCCTCCGAGGACAGCTTCGGCAACTTCGACAAGCTGTCCCTGGCCGACGACAACCAGCTGGCGCTGCCGCCCAAGCCCGACTTCAAGCCCAAGCCGCCGCCCATCCCGCCCAAGCGCTTCGGGCCCAAGCCCTGGGTGTCGGCGCACCCGCAGGTGGCCAACATGGGCGTGAGCCTGGAGACGTCGAGCGGCCTCCCGCAGGCGAGCGTGGCGGAGCTGAGTCGCCGCGACGAGGGCGACGGCCGCTCCATGACGGACTCGCACTACTCGGGCTACTCGCCCTCGCGCGGCGCCGGCGCCAGCAAGCCCGCCGAGCTGAGCGGCCCCATGGCGCCGCCCGCGCAGGGCAGGGGCTACTACGAGCTCAAGAACAGCGCGGGCGTGAGCGGCGCCGAGAGGGAGCAGGACACGCTGGGCGCGGGCCCGCAGCGCCCCGACGAGGCGCTCCTGCACACGGTGGCCGACCTGCACACGTACGCGGCCTTCAACCCCGCCTACGAGCACGACGAGCCCCTGGCCATGGGGTCGGTGGGCGCGCGCATCGGCTCGTCGGAGATCGCCGAGTACATGGAGCAGCTGCTGGGCACGACGGAGCCGTCGGAGAACGACCAGTCGGACGAGGCGTCGGAGGCCAAGGCCAAGACGTGCAAGCGGCCCGGCAAGCACCCCGTGGCCTGGAGCAAGGCCAAGGGCCACAAGCAGTTCTCGCACCACACGCAGCAGTCGTCGTCGTGCTAGCCCTCGGCGGGCGCCCCGAGCGAGGCCCGAAGGGGGAGGCCCTGTGAGACATTGCCCCTCCTGCGCCGCGGCCGGACTCGGGGCCCTCGCGTCCGTTGTAAATAGTGTGTATTTAGGACTTGGGGAAGAGAAGACGAGAGGGGGAGGGAGGGCAAGAGTGACTGCCGATGCCCACGCCCCGCCCCCGCGAGTGCCAAGCGCGGGTTGCCATATTGTGTGAATGTCGAAGACGAGGTTTCGGGAATTCTGTCGGTGCCAAAGCCTTACAAAACCTGTTCCAAGTTCGCCTCGTCTTTGCGCCTTGTTCGGATTCCAAGACGAGCGGCCAAACCTGAGTGAGTGTTTCGTGAGGTGTGTCATAACCATTTCTTGACTAAAGGAAGCTTTTTTTGTATAATTTACCAAGAGGTACTATTGCCCGAGAATTTGTCGCAAATGACGCTATACGTTGTATATTTTTTCCACAAATGAATCAATAGAATAAATGAATACAAAACTGGTGAATTTAAGATCGACTTTCGAAAGTTGATTTGTTATGGAATTTAAAAAAAAGCAAAACATCAGTTTCAGGGGAAACAGTAACCCTCTTTTCATTTATATGTGTCACTAATGCCGTGGGAATCGAAGAACAGAACCATCTCTATGAAGATTTTTGGGAAAATCTGATTTAGACATTTGTGAAAAGGTTGTGCTCTTGTGTAGACTGTGACGTCATTCTTCAATCACACACACACACACACACACACACACACACACACACACACACACACACACACACACACACACACACACACACACACACACACACACACACACACACACACAAAGTTATATATACACACGTATATGTACACCCAAGCAAGCACTCGACAGTTCAATGTGCATATCAAGAAAGTGCCAAGACATGTAATTTCCTCATGTTATTATAATTAATATTTCATGTATTACCACACACCCCTGTATAGACATTCATGAGACACACACACACACACACACACACACACACACACACACACACACACACACACACACACACACACACACACACACACACACACACACACACACACACACACACACACACACACACACCACACACACACACACACACACACACACCAACAACAGACAAATTACTTTCAACAAATTTGTATATTATTGACAGCTGACCGAGATAGGGGGAGGGGGAAGGGGAAGGGGTGCTGGGGGGGAGGGGGAATAGGGAAGAGGAGGAGGAGAAGGAGGAAGAGGAGGAGGAAGTGCCCCCCTCCCCCCCCAACTCCTTGAATGTGCCACAACTTATAAACCATGGTTATGTTTCTCTGTATATTGTGATATATATTATATGATGACTGTAATATATCTCCTTGTATTATATATAGAATTTTTTGAGGTGGGTTTCATTTCTCCTTCTTGTGTGTTCGTTTAATCTGATTTATTTATTTATTTATTTATGTTGTGTGGTGTGTGTTATAGTATTTGTTCATGTGTTCTGGTGTATGCAGTGAATGCCTTATGTTGCAGTGATTGTTCATGTTGTGGTAGATAACATGCGCAACTGTGAGTGAATGTGATCTTTATTTTTGTTATGGTGAACCTGGTGTTACGGTGAATATGTTGTGTTATGGTAAATATCATGAATGTTATGGTGAGTGTTATGGTGAGTGTTCTGTTACAGCGAATGGTATATGTTGTGGTGAGTGTTGCTATAATATGATGAAAGTTATGTGTTATGATGAACATTATGTGTACAATGTGTTTTATGGTGCATGTAATATTCTGTTGCAGTTGATATGTGCATAATGACTGGTATGTCGTTGTGGTGAATAAATTTTCAATTATGACGAATGTTGTGTTTTGTTGTAGTGAAATGTATACCGTGTTATAGTGAATGCATTATTGCGTTATGAGAAAGACTTTGTTGCGAATGCGGTGGATGTTCTACCAACACAATCAAACAGCAATGTTATAAAAATATCATATATATATATATATATATATATATATATATATATATATATATATATATATATATATATATATATGTGTGTGTGTGTGTGTGTGTGTGTGTGTGTGTGTGTGTGTGTGTGTGTGTGTGTGTGTGTGTGTGTGTGTGTGTATGTGTGTGTGTGTTATGTGTGTGTGTGTATGTATATATATATATATATATATATATATATATATATATATATATATATATAATATATATATATATATATATACATACATACATATACATACATACATATATAATATATATATATATATATATTATATATATATATATATATATATATATATATATATATATACACACAGAATACAGAGAGAATACATTTACGATATATATACATATAGATATGCAAACGGACGCTAAATGAATTGCATGGAATAAGCCACGCATGATATGATATTGAATCTGAATATGAAACTCATACCATTAGGTTTCCAGTTATTAAGCAAGATGCAATATTAAAGGGCGAAAGTGGAGGGAAAAGAGAGGGAAAGGGAGAGAGAGAGGAGGGAGGGAGGGAGGGAGGGAGGAAGGGAGGAGGGAGGGAGGGAGGGAGGGAGGGAGGGAGGGAGAGAGAGGGAGAGAGAGAGGAGAGAGAGAGAGAGAGAGAGAGGGAGAGAGAGAGAGAGAGAGAGAGAGAGGAGAAGAGAGAAGAGAGAGAGAGAGAGAGGAGAGAGAGAAGAGGAGAGAGAGAGAGAGAAGAGAGAGAGGAGGCAGAGAGAGAGAGGCAGAGAGAGAGAGGAGAGAGAGAGGGAGAGAGAGAGAGAGGAGAGAGAGAGAGAGAGAGAGAGAGAGAGAGAGAGAGAGAGAGAGAGAGAGAGAGAGAGAGAGAGAGAGAGAGAGAGAGAGAAGAGAGAGAGAGAGAGAGAGGGACAGAAGAGAAGAGGCACCAGAGACTCCATTGTCCAAGCCTGGAATATAGTGACAGCCTTATAGCAACAGTCAACACCATAAAGCCAACGAAAAGGAGTATTGCTTGTAGCACTATTCCTGAGCGCATTGATGGTGAGTGCGAGCAAGCTCCTCCGACAGTATCTGGTGGAAATCCCTCGATATGCACAAGCAAAGACAAAACGCTGAAGAGTAATACTGCCAAAACGTGCCTCGGCAGTTGAAATTACACTAAATCCTCAAAGCCATAAAACAAAGCAGTGGCTTACAAGAGATTCGGAAAGTCCAGCCTTCAAAACAAAGCTCTGCAACGACTTCTAAATTTTCCTTCTGTAGTTTAAGCCAAAGAAGGGGTCGCACCACTGATAACTGCAGTTCAAAATTGAATTGTGATTTCTGTCATATAACTAGGCACACACGGGCAGACTGTCGTACACGTATTGCTGAAAAGAAGCATAGATCTTTCTTCTCATTATTACTTAGCGAACAAACCACCAGACAGCAGATCTACTTCAGTCCTTTCAAAGTAAGTTAGTACAGTCTATGGTTCCTCCTACTGAAATTCCTCACTACGGTGCAGGATACAACAGAGGATTACAAGGTCCATTCATACCCGCTCACAGCCACCAATATTCTCAATATGCGGAACACTAAGGGGTTATTGGAATCAGCACCTTGTGCGAAATGCTTTTGACATCATTTTAACTGTGTATGAACTGCACAATCATGTAGACTGTCCTACACAAGCCTCGGCTTCATCCCTGGACCCAGTCATATATGCCGCAGTGATGGAAGCCTCACTGTGGCTGTAGGAGGCGAAGAAAAGGAAAAATACCCAATTAAAGCAGGTGTCCCACAAGGCAGCCTCCTAGGACCATTAATGAGGAACATCTTTTTCGATTATTTACTCTAACAAATCCCAGAGGCAGTGGCGTGTGCAGATGACCTCAGTATTCACCTGAACTTCTCTAAAGACAACGCCAACACAAGCTGCCTAAAACTCCAGAGAATTACTGATATTATCTCAAACTGGGGTTCCTGTTGGAAGATAAACTTTGCTGCCGAAATCAAGTCCCTCATTATATCAAGAAAAGGGGACCGCATCATAAGAAACAAGGCTCTCTTTATGCAAGAACGCCTTTTACAAGAGCAAAATTCCATCAACATAGTTACTTTCGACTTTAAGTTGAACTTTGACCAACACATCGAAAACCTGGCTCGCACAACCACACAGAAGCTAAACGCACTCAGAAGGATTCTCCAACTCCTATCTCCAGAAGGTGCTCTTCCGCTCTACGTCACAATTTCGTTCAGCACTCGAATACTCCTCCCTGGCATGGAACGGAGCAGCTCAAACGCATCTCAGTCTCCTGGACAAAGTTCAAGACAGAGCCATCACACTCATCAGCAGAATTTCTAACGAAACTGACATACATGTTGATCTTCGGCGTCGGGGAGATGTAGCAGAACTTACTACAAGTACAAGGCCCAGCACTTAGACGTCCCTCATCTGGCGCCACTCAACCAGCAGCCACGACGAAGCGCCCGTCGGACAAGGGCACCGCAGCAGAACCCAGCTGCCCTCAGCCCTCCCACGGCGAGCACAATCTCAGATATTTCATTTGTAGATATGTGAGTTTGTGGAATTATATAAACAGCAACAATAGTATTCCATGTACATGTGCCATTCAGACTTTTAAATGCTTTGTAAATAGAATTCTATCATAAAAGTTCACACGGAAATCCTGACCGGTTTTAAAAGACATGTTAGAGCGACACTTCTTTAACCGGATATAACCTGATAAATAGAGAGAATATATAAATTCTTTGGAAAGAGAGAGAGAGAGAGAGAGGAGAGAGAGGGAGAGAGGGAGGGAGAGGGAGAGGGAGAGAGGGAGAGAGGGAGAAGAGAGAGAGAGAAAGAAAGAGAAAGAAAGAGAAGAGAGAGAGAGAGAAGAGAGAGAGAGAGAGAGAGAGAGAGAGAGAGAGAGAGAGAGAGAGAGAGAGAGAGAGAGAGAGAGAGAGAAAGAAAGAGAAAGAGAGAGAGAAGAAGAATAGATAGATAGATAGAGATGGTTAAACAGATAGACAGTTGGACAGGGTAAATAAACAGACTGATAAATAGACAGATAGATTAGGTAGATTTACTGACAGTCAGATAGTCAGACAGATAGGCAGACTTATAAACAAACATACAGGCAGACTTATAAACAGACGGACAGATAAACTTATAAATACAATCA